CACTGACTCGTATCCGGACCTCTGGAAACAAAGCCTGATAGTGCCCATTCCGAAGAACGCGGCGAGTGGAGAAGCCTCCTCTTTTAGGCCGATTACGCTCACTTGCTGCTGTGCTATGCATCTTCCCAATGCAATAAATTAGCAGAACACTATTCACAATTCATGTTACAAATATTAACGTCACTACTCATTTCATTTTGAACCATAAGCAAACCGAAATGCAACGGAGAGAGTTAGGTCAGGAAAAAATGTGTGGTACGATTGCATGAATGCGAACGACCCAAACACTTGTCTTGCTGACTCTAACATTTTTCCTACGCCGGTACATAGCAGAGGTCTCGTGTATGCGGACCCAGTAAGGAAACGAAAAGTGTCAAATAGCAAAACATTATCGATGGGTGCGTAGAATGTAAAATAACCAAAATGTTCAATGTTTGTCAACACCTTCCCAGGCGTCTCGTTCTTTCTAGTTTTAACTCACTAGTTTAAGGAAAATGCAATGTAAGAACTTTGTAAACTCTGAAGCCGTTTCGGCTATATAAACCCTGTAAGTTGAATGAAATAAAGGCTTTTTTCGACAAGCATCGACAAGGAACGAATGTGCTCTATTACTAGATACCACATACCCAACTTATCCAAACCAATGCGCCCTGGTGCTACCACTGGTCACCAGCAACCGCAGTTTGGTTGAATTGGTCTAGGAAGTCCCCTAGCCAAATCCTTGCACGACGCAAGTCCCCGTCGGTTATTTTCTCCTAGTCACAACGTGTGCATAAGTTTAGTGAACGCGAGTGAAAGTATGTGAAAACTGACAGTGTTGAAAACGTAAGTAATGTATAGTGTGGTAAATCGTCGAATTAGGCAGTTCCTGGAGTCTAACAGTCTCCTTGACGAACGGCAGCATGCATTCCGGCAAGGACATGGCTCCTCCACTTACTTTGCAGCCCTCGGGAATGTACCCAAGGAAGCCCAGGACAACGGTCACCATGCGGAGTTAGTATCCCTTGATATTTCTAAGGCGTTCAACAGGACGTGGACGCCTGGCGTCATCAGGCAGCTCATCGGCTGGGGCCTGAAAGGCCACATCACGCACTTTGTACGGAATGTCCTCCTTTATCGTACCTTCCAGGTGACTGTCGGCAACACTCGATCGGATCCGCTCCCCGAGGAAACTGGAGTGCCCCAGGGATCCGTCATAGCTGTTACGCTATTCCTGGTGGCAATGAACGGGGGGTTCAGCCGACTGCCCAAGAACGTGCACGTAATCGTCTATGCCGATGACATACTCATCGTCGTAACGGGACGAACGATTAAACGGACCAGGAATATTGCCCAAGCAGCTGTCTCCGCCGTCTGCAGGTGGGCGCTTTCTGTTGGTTTCCATCGGCCATCTGATTCGGGGACCACCGATCACCATCCAGGACCATCCATTTCCGCTTAAGAAAACAGTACGTGTTCTGGGGGTAGTTCTGGACCAGCACTTCAGATCGGTGAAAGAAAACTGTCGTAGCCGCATCAACATCGTCAGGACAATCTCCCGCCCGCACCGCTCCATTAACCGCGAGATCCGCCTTCGTGTCGCCCGGGCTGTTATCGACAGTCGACTTTTCTACGGCATTGAAATTACCTGCTTAGCCACCGAGAAGCTGAACCGCATCCTCGCTCCGGTATACAATACCTACGTACGCATCGTATCCGGCCTTCTACCTTCCACGCCTGCAGACGCTGCTTGTGCGGAAATCGGAGTCCTCCCTTTCCGCTATCGATCTGCTGCAGCTACTGCTACGAAAGCCGCTGCCCTCGCTGCTAAGACATCCGGGAATGATAGGGTCTTTCTCCTCAACGAGGGGAACAGAGCCCTCCGCACTGCAGCCAACCCCCGGTGGCTAGGGTCCACTGGCATGGAGAGAAAAGTTGGCGATCTAACGTTATCAAAATAGAAAAGCGGATTAAGAGAGGATTCCACGCCGGAGATAACTCTGTAGCGTTGAGGCGTTCAGTTGCAGAACTTCTTGGGTCGGTCTATCCGGGGCACGTTCATCGCTTTACAGACGGATCGCGATAACGGGCTGGAGTGGGACTCGGAGTGGCAGGACCAAACTCCGCAACAAGTCAAAGTCTACCGGAGGAGTGTTCCGTTCTTTCCGCAGAAGCCGCTGCTATTCTTGATGCAGCCATCACTCCTGCAGGTCAACCGATCCTTGTGCTAACGGACTCACACAGCGTCATCCAGGCGCTGGAAGCCTAAGCCCCGAGCCACCCCTGGATACAAGCCATTACACGATATGCCCCGCCCTCAACCGTTTTACGTGGATTCCTGGAAATGAGGCTGGTCCCCGCTTCACCTGGAACGTACCACTCCTAGACGTCAAGCGTTGGATCGCGAATATTATCATGGAAGCCTGGCAGGAGGAATGGTTTCAGTCGCGGACCACTTTCCTGAGAAAGATCAAAGAAACCGTACGACCCTGGCTAGACAGCCACAAGTACAAGGACCAACGGATCATTTCAAGACTCCGGACCGGCCATGCGAGGATTTCCCACAATTTTGGTGGGACACCCTTCCACAAGGTTTGTCAAATCTGCAGCATCCCTGCCTCGGTGGAACACGTGCTGTGTGTCTGCCCAGAGTTTCAGGAGCTACGCGAACAACACCGACTCCCACAGAACATCAGGGAGCTACTTGGCAACGACCCCTCGACGCTGGCTGCGCTTATTGCTTTCTTGAAGGACCCCCAACTGTACAACCAAATCTAGCACTCTCGTCGTTGGCTGCGCTGTCCGTGTTCTTCCACCTTCCTATTTTCCTGCCGTCGGGGTATCTCTGCCGGACTGGGGCACTGTATCTTACGGTGGAGCTCTACCTTGTTCGCGCATCCATTCCTCACCACAGTCCCGATGTAACTCCCATTTTACATTAAGTTTTTTTTTTTTAATGTTGTCTCAGAGCCAGCTTTACGTTACGTTAATGTTAGACTGAAACGTTTCGTTAGAGGCAGGCCCTAAGCCTGACCTTCTACTATCAAATGTGATGAACTAGCCTACGGCTAAAAATCACAAAAATAAAGAAAACAAAAATATTGTAGTCAAACGGTCGTCGACCATCACTTCTAGCTTATTACGTGCTCCCCAACGCTAATTTCTGACTTTAAAGTTAAGTGCTTCGTGAAAAGTCCTTCCACGATGACTTTCAGGTTCTCTAAGCACATTTCAGCGGGCATGACTTGACATCTGATCTTCGTCATCACGACACGGTGTGCGTCGTTGGCAGCGGCGTCTTGACCCAGCTCCAGTTGACAGTTTGAGTTGATCTGCTTTATCTCTCGTTTATGTGCTTGGAACATTCCTCTACGTTCCTCTCTGTCTGCTTCTGTTCTTGCTCACGTGTTCTGGCTCTGAGACAACTAGCGCGGAGGGTGCTAATTGCCTCGTTGCAGCAGTAAGCTGGAGGCCGTCTGTTATTTAGCTCCAGTTTCCTCAGCATGTACTGCCACAGGATTCCGTTGGCCGATGCCATATCGGATTGCCTAATGGTCACTATGGGTATATCCTTCACAAACTCTCCAATTAATGATTTTCACCAACAACGGACTGTAGTCCGCATAAAGTGACGTCGATAATGGATTGCCGGCCATCTCTGCGAAAAGTGCTGGCGGTGCCTTTATTGAACAGCCTAATTTCCAGCTTCGCCAGAGTTTCCAGCAGAATGTGCCCTCTTACGTTGGTACATCTGTTTCCTCACTCCACTGTCTAAGCATTGAAGTCTCCTCCTGTGACTACCGGTCTTCGTCCGATCAGCTCTTCGGTAAGTCCAACCAGCGTCTCGTGGAACTGCTCCATCGTCTATCGGGTGCGTAGCAACTGCATATGAATATTCCGTTAATTTTGGCGATCACGAAACCTTCTTCTTGAATGGGGTATCTGCCCATAACTTGTATTGCAGCCATCCTAGCTCTATCCGCCACCTAGTTACCTTTATCGGGAGGGACTCGATACAGCTGTGCAGTGTCGCAATAATTGAAGTTTATTTGAGTTACCGCTGTTATTGTTGCGACAAAACAATTAGGTGTCATTTGGATCGAAATGCTTGAGAAGTCATGCTTAAAAGCCAAAAAGTTCAGCTAAATCTTCAGGCTGGCAAAATCGGGAAAAAAGCTGACAAAATTGGGGGTCGACAAAATCGGGAAAGATCTGTATTCGTGTATCAATTACATTTTACTCCATGTATATAAAATTGCGTAGTTTCTCGTGAAATATCTGGTTGACCTTGAAGATCCTATGACATGTTCTCCGGGGAGAGTTACTGAACCAAGATGATGGTAGACTATCACCTATTGTAGCAAGGCGCCTGCTCATAGCAATGGACTGTTCCTACTAGAGGAAATGATCAAGATTTGATTTTAAGATATAGTGACTTGAAAATAAATAAACTTCCCCATAGCTTTAAACGTTCATGATGTTCTTAAAACTACCCAGACATTTTTGGAACGAAAAATAACTAACAATATTTTTCCCGAAATATCTAGAATATACATCTAAACATAAATAGATTAAAGCTAGTTTTATAGCTATAATTGGAAGGACTGTTCTGATAGCAACTATTCCCATTTACCCCTTCAATATTTTGAAATTGTATTGAAAGATATATAAAACATAAAATAAATATAAAATTTGCATCAAAGAAAAATTATTATCATAGAGCTGCAAAAATTTCCCAATTATTCAATAACATCCCTTCATCTGAACCCACCGTGAGCACATCGGTGATTCCCATCAGCTCATCAATCGAGGGAAGAAACAAAAAAAAACACACATCATCAACTCATCTGCACGTGGTACGCACGCGAGAAAACTAGGTTACTCGTGCCCTTAACCAGATGGCACGTGTTATTCAACGCCCGCGAGAAAGGGAAGGAGAGACAGGAAGAAATACGGTGATGGGTCAATCGTCGAATGGCCCATGCATGTATGTCGTTAACATTTAATTTCCAAACGCTTACCTTCTTTCGCTTCCACCGCTAGAATCTCCTTGTTGGTGTCCAACCGGGCCAACAGTGTCATGAGGTTGGACAATCCGGACCACGGGTCGTGTCCGGTGGAAGCACTGTTTACAAAATAAAAAATAAAATAAGAAAAGGTGAGAATGTGGGTGGGTGGATGTCGGCAAGAACCAGTACACTTACCCTATTTTGTAGTCTGTGCAGAAGGGCGGTGGATTCCACGTGCCGGTGTGATAAAGCATCCAGTCGCACCACACCTGTGGTGTTATTATTTTAAAATGTGGGAAGAGAGACAGAAAGAAATGGAGAAATCGGTGTAAGAAAGAAACGTGAATCAACAAAAAACAAAAATTAGGAAGAAGGTTCAAAGCAATGGAAAACCTTTCATTTCTCGTCGATGACCATGTGTAAACAAACAAGGTCACCTGGTGCGGTGGTACGAGAAAAGACCAGTGGATAACACAGTCTATGGACAAGTTGTTGCTGTTGAATGAATGGGAGGTAGTTTCGACACGAACTCGTCAAGAGAAGACACATTCCATTGCGGGATGGGAGAGGTTTTAAGCACCAGTAGCAGCAGCAGCAGCAGCAGCAGTAGCTAGTAGCAAAAAGCATCCCCATAGCCATAAGACATACTGGACAAGTAGAAAGTGGAGGATTGCTTCTGTGTCTTTCGCTTCCTCGATCGCGCGCGCCACATTTTCACCGAACTGTCCAAAGTCGGATTCGGATTGTAAAAAGGCCTCCGGCTGGCTCCCGGCCGGAGACTCAAAAGAATTGAAATTGATTGCCACCTTAACAGCAGTAGCAGCAGCAGCAGCATCCATCCAATCGAACAAACGACGAAAAGGAGGAAGCCCGCAGTTGAGTTGAGCAGCAACAACAATAACAAAAAAAAAAAAACACAACTTTCCTCCCCATAGACGATCACCTCTAGCGACCCGCGCGCACTCGCTCTACAAAAAGAGTCCAAACAGAGATTTGAAGATTACAATAATTATGTTCGAAAATCGGCTGCTTTCAATAGACGACGATGACGACAACGACGTAAACCTACTTAGTGAGACGAGCTTATTTTCGGTGTGCAAATGCTGAACAGATGGACGACGAGACGACGTCGTTCCCTACCGGAATGTCACGTCCATGTACTGTATAGATTCAGGGGTGTATCATTATCTGGGAATATGGCTGGAAAGTGATTGACCTTTGCCTGATTGCCGGTGGTGTAGGGCCTTGGACGATCGATGGATGACTGGGAGTGGCTTGTGCAGATGCAGGAGGGCTCGATGGCGGTTTGATTAATCAGGAAAGGGATCTTTGATCCCTGCTGTGGTGGAAAGTGAAACGTATGGCTTGGGGTCAATGAACGAGTTGTGCGAAATGTGTTCGAGGAACTGGGTAGGTGGAAATTGTGGGCTTGAAATATTTCAATTCCAATCAAATATGTGTATAGCAGATCGCATCCAATAACATCTTTGAAGATTTTTCCAAATATTAACGGGATTCATAAGATTATCTGAAATCCAATCAGCATTCTAAATATTTCTGTCGTGATTTTCCGGAACTCAGTCAGATTTCTGCGGTACAAACCCAGCATTTTTTTGCAAATACTTTAATTATCTTAAAGATAAATCGTCCAGCTCACACTTTTTTAGGGGTAAGAGGTGGGACCATCATCATCATTAATTATAAAACATCCCGTCAGGATTCTATAGAATCTCATTCCGAGATCTCTGGATTCTTTTTCAGTGCTGCGGGTTGCAATGCAAGTTCACCTTTTCTCAACCCTATGCATTTTGCTGAAGTCTGCCCTACTTCAGAGTGGTTTTACAATCTTTCGAGTACTCTTACCAACTTCATGTAAACTTCAGAGAGGTTTCGGCATACTGCAGACATTTTAATTTCAGGCCTATTCTGCGTAGTGTGAGATATTAGGTAACTTGCTGTCCTGATGAAGTAACATGATCTTTGAAGATCACTAGATTAAACTTGATGTTCGCAAAATTAACAAAGATCTCAAAAATTTGTGACGCTCGAAGAATTTCTCTGAAGATCATAAAACAACTCTGAAGTGCGTTGAACTTCTTTAGAGAATAAAATACTTCCTTGAAGATCACAGAACTACTCTGAAAGAGCTTTAAAGATTTCCTATGCAGTTTAGGTATGTTCTGATAAGTTCAAGGAAAGTTCTTTGATCTTAAAAGGGAGTTCTTTGAACTTCAAGCGAAGTTCTCTGAAGTTCAGGCGAAATTATCTGAACTTCAAGCGAAATTCTTTGACCTTCAGGCAACATTCTTTGAACGTCAGGCGAAATTCTCTGAGCTTCAGGCGAAATTCTCTGAACCTTAAGGAAAGTTCACAGAACATCCAACGAAAAGTTCACAGAACGCATAATTTCCGAACAAATGTTCATATAACTTCCGACGAAAAGTTAACAGAATTTCCCTGAAATTCAGAGTGCTTTTAAAAAATTCCTAAGGTTTACAGAACATCCCTGAAGTTCACAGAACTTCATCAAAATTCCCTGAAGTTTGCCTATTTTCAGAATAAAAGTCCCGAGAAGCTCACAGAACTTCATTTAAGTTCTCTGAAGTTCCGACGAGAAGTTTATAGAGCTCATGAGAGGTTATGATGTTCAGAAGATATTGATAGTAGGTACGTCCGACGAGAAGTTCACAAAACTTCAGAGGAGAAGTTCAACAAAACTTCAGAGAAGAAGTTCACAGAACTTCTGACAAGAAGTCCACAAGACTTCTGAGAAGTTCAGAGAACTGACAAGGAGAGGTTCAGAGAAATTTCGAGTAGAAGATTAGAGACCTTCCGACGAGAAGTTCAAAGACCTACCGAAAAGAAGTTCAAAGCTTCCAAAAAGAAATTCAACGAACATCCGAGGAGAAGCTCACAGAAGTTCCGGGAACATGCGACGAAAAATTCAGAGAACTTCCGATGAGATCTTCACAAAATTGTCTACGAGAAGTTCAGGGAACTTCCGAAGAGGAATTCATAGAATTTCCGATGAGAAATCCAAAGAGCTTCCGAGGAGAAGTACAGAAAAATTCCGAAGATAAATTCTTAGAACTACTGACAATAAATTCCAATAACATTTAACTAGAAGTTCACAGTACGTTCGACCATAATCAGAAGCGATCACGAATAGTCAACAGGATTCTTGGAAAGCATGAAACATGAAGTAGGATGTTGCGGAAAAGTCCTTTGTAGGATTTCATATTATTGCCGACACTTTCAATCACTTGCTGCTTCGAATAAGATGCGTATCATTTTACCGATTTTATTTGCTCCAGCCGATCGGATTGTCCAGGAAAATGACGAAGATGGTGAAAAGTAATGCACCCGTGGATGGACGTTCCGATTGGGACCAAGCCGTAACAAATTCTGGTAGCTGTGGTACATAAACAGAAAATTACATTATTTGCTGTTCGTGCATGTGTGTGTGTGAGAGCGATGAGAACAAATTTTATGATGACTACGTTCTTTTTGAAAATTCGAGATTTTTTCTAATACGCCAAAATCGGCGTATTAAAGTTATATCCGAGATTAAAATTGGGAATGGTGCTTAGCAAAATTGAGGATAATTCGAAATTGGCGTATTATCCTCGATTGAGTATACCGCTGTTGGAGTTCATGGAAGACCTCTTTCTGGTATCCCTATATAATTTGCTCCATAATTCTCTTGAAAATCTGCTGCAGGACACTCTTTCAATTCACTCTGCAATGCTCTTTAAATTACTAACAATTCTAGCAATATTATCTACGAATTATCCGACTATTTTACCTGAAAATTCAGTTGGAGTTGGAATTATTCTAACAATTCCTAATTAGTTCTGCTCAGAAATCTCATAAATTCTTTGAAATGCTCCTCAGAATTCCCTTGGAGCTCTCCTTTGAATGCTCTAAAAATTAATAATCGGAATGTCCTTGGAATAGTCCTCAAAATTCAACCCATTTTGAAAGTCTCCTAAACATTCACTTGCAGTTCTCCTCTCAAATTCCTTAGATTTCTTCTCAAATTATGTCTCGCATTCAAGTCAGAACTCTACTAGAATTATTTTCCGAATTTCAGGAATTATTCTCAAAGTTGATTGCTATCCATCTTTTAGCATAAACCCCCTAAATGATGTCCAAAAATGTATTTTCCTCCAAGATACATCAAGAAATAATCCTCAGATTTCCTTTGTAGTTCTACTTTGAATCGCCGTGGAGTTCCCCTTCGAATTCCTTAGGAATCAACTTCAGAGATTCCGGTAAATTTTCATCAAAATTTAATTTAAATCCAATTTTGGGTATACACTGGAGTCGCTTTTTACGCGGGTGATACGTCCCGCGTAAAAAAAACCGCGTAAATTCCGGAATCCGCGAAAAAAAAAGACCGTGTAAGAAAAAACCGCGTAAAAAGCGATATACCGCGTCAATTCTGAAATCCGCGTAAAAAAAACCAAAATCCGCGTAAAAAAAACCGCGTAAATTCCGGAATACGCCTAAAAAAAACCGCGTAAATTCCGAAATCCGCGTAATAAAAAACCGCGTAAAAAGCGACTCCAGTGTATTTTGAATTCTATTGAGTATCTCCATTGTAGCACGGAAACTAAGTCCGACAGCAGTGGGCTCTCTTCTCTCTTCTCTGTTTGTCTTGCTCAAGCCTAATAACCTCTGATTGTCCTCAACATGTCGCTGTATGAAGGGCCAAAAACGGATCGATAGGCAAAGTCGCCTATACGCATCTACGGAACAATGAAGAATCTCCTTCCAGCAACTTGATCAGCCAATTGGTCAAAAAGACAAGCCCCCAAATAGGAAGATGCCCAAATGAGTGGGGAGAAGAGCTCGCCCTTTATCCACGAAATGTTATCAACAGGGAGTTGGCATTCCCACTCACTCCGTCTAAATCGCTTCAATCGGGTGCCCTGTTCTATCAAGCATCTCCGACTACTTAACGACAAATGTCAGATTTAAAGTGTTCATTGTATACGATAAAGGGTGATACGGTCAAAATTTGGTCAATATCAACTTGACGTATTTCTTTCAATTTTGCATTTAAAAAACCTGAACACCCCTCATTTTGAAGGTGTGTGTGTGTAGAATGTTGCTCCTATTTTGATTTTGGAATTCACTCTTCAGTTGTCAAAATGCCGTCCAAGCAAGAAGAGCAGCGTATCAAAATTTTGCTCGCGCATCGCGAAAATCCGAGCTACTCGCACGCAAAGTTGGCAAAATCGCTAAAAGTTGCCAAATCAACCGT